ACGGTGGTAATGGTGGTGATGGTGATGGTGGTAATGGTGGTGAGGGTGAAGGTGGCGATGGTGGTGATGGTGGTGATGGTGATGGTGGTGATGGTGATGGTGGTGATGGTGATGGAGGTGATGGTGATGGAGGTGATGGTGGTGATGGGGATGGTGGTGATGGGGATGGTGGTGATGGGGATGGTGGTGATGGGGATGGTGGGTAGGGAGAGGGTGGAGGCGAGCAAGGGCAATAGTTAACGGTAAACTTGAAGTAGCCCCAGGCAGTGGGGGAGTCCGGGCAAATGGGGTTGGAGGAGTCATTGGCAGCCACCCACTCGGATGCGACCCACGAGGGGTGGATAGAGACATTCATGGGCCGTATGTCCACAAAACGAAGGAACAAGTACACTGTCACAGGACGACATGGGGGAAGCCATCCATTCAGTAAGGAGTTTGCGTACAAATATCCAGAATAGAGTCTCACTTCACCCTGTGTTGTAATGACCCAATCAGTGGCGGTTGACATAAACGCATCAGGCGGTCGGCACCCAGTGCCACCATTGTAAATCTGCAAAAATATTGACTCGGGGAAGAAAATAAATGAATACTTGACGTACGACTCTAGCTGCCAGTCCACCACCAGCTCGGGAAAACCCTGAGAGGCATCAATATACGCCGGGGTAACCACCTGACCCGTTACACTGGACCGTACAGGTGCTGGGTATCCAGTGACGGGGACACCGTTGTAGGTGACATATGGAAAGTCACCACAGGATGGTAAAGGTGGCATTGGCGGTGGAGGTGGCGGACTTGGCGGCGGGGGCTGAGCCGGGCAGGGGCAGTATGAGATGGCGAACTTGGTGTAACCCCAAGCAGTTGGGGAGTCAGGGCAGATGGGGTTGGTGGTGTCATTAGCATGCACCCAGTCAGCAGCCGCCCAGGAAACGTGAGCTACGCCGAAGAAGTCGTGACTGAGGAAACTAGTGAACCAGTAGAAGGTGACCGGGGCGCCGCAGGGTTGGACCAAGCTGGAGTAGCTGGGGGGTGCAACTTCAAAAATGGGAAAGTAGGCTGTAGAAGCATAGTCTAGTTCCTGACCGTAATCCATGGCTGTTAATCCGCTTGGCTCCCTGCAGCCAGAGGTGCCATTGTATACGGCATTGAAATCCGCTTCGGAAAGCATGCCGTAGGAAAATGAGGTCCTGTCTGTGAATTTCCATTGTACCACTATAGTTGTCGTGCCGTTGACGTAATAACCAACAGACCTACGGGTTCTTGGCACATCCACAACCTGCAAAAGGAATGCTGGGCTGATCGCATCTTCATAATCAGCTGAAATAACAGGCGCCCTTATGGCGCTTACTGGCACACCGTCCCTGTAGAGCACTGGGTACGGACCGCAGGTGGCCAACGGCGGCATGGGGGGAGGTGGCGGAGGGGAGGCAACTGCTGCAGCTATCTGTGCACTACTGCCGAAGAGCAACAGCACCAGTAGCAGGTGTAGCGGGAAGCTCAGAAGCAGTGGGCTGTAGCAGTTGCGGCGGTGGATCGGCGTCTGCTGCTGCTGCGGTGGCGGCAATCCATGACTGTTAACATTACGCCCACCACGGCCACCATTAGTACTGCGACACGTGACCATGATAGGCGATGATGGCCTTCACTGCCGCGATTTAGTGCGTGCGTGCGTGCGTGCGTGTTTCCGGTAGATATTCCAGCTGAGCTTGCTGCAACGCATCCGGAAGAGGGCCAGGCACGAGTGGGAGATATTATGTGCTGTAGCATGCAAGTAGGGTAGTCCAAAGGTTTAGATAGAAAAGTTATCTCATCTCAATCTAGTAAGATCTTATTAGTTCTAATTAGATTGGTTTAGAATCCCATCTCAGGATTTGGCTACTTCTCAAAAACTTAATCAACCTTCATGAAACTTAGTACTTATGTTACTTGTGGTTAGTTATTTTGTAAGTAATATTTGGGGCGGCGGGGCTCTGCATGGGCTGTAATCTGTAAGCAGCTGCTCGGGGAGGCATGGACCCATGGGTCCAGCATCACCTAGACACGCCTGAGGCCTGCTTTTCCTTTCGCACTGCATGCAGTTATGAAGTTCAAGATATTACAGCAACGTACGGAAAAGCCTATTCTTAATCCTGTCCGTCTTATGTGCTGTAACGCATCTTGTAGGCTCACACATTACACCCAGTCTGCGGAGACATGCAGGAGTGTTGACCACCAAAAACACCGACCGGAAGCTTAGCAGCTTCATGACGTTAACCAGAGGGCTGCCCATGAACGCAAGTCGGTTTTTCCAGCCGTCAGTAGCGAACGCGGCAAGGCCACCGTCCTTAGCATACTCGCTGTCCATTTTGGCTTGGATCTCGGCATGAACCTCATCCAAAATCCTGCCACTAAGCAACTTGCGGCTCCAAAGCTCAATGCCAATAGCTGCACAAGCCTTCACGAGGTCAACATGATCGATGGGGCGGAGGATTTCAACCCTCGTCCGTGGGTTCTGGGTTGCCCACTGGTGTGAAGGGAGGCGGAGCAGTTTGAGGAGGCTTAGACGCTGCGGACGGGTGGCAGTCGTTGATATGCCTGCGTGCTACGGTTGAGGGATTCGTTGCGCTGAACTCCTTAGCCGTAGAAGCACTGGATCTTCACAACGCTGTTTACAAGTATCACATGGCCACCAGGCCGCCTGCCTCCTACTCTTTGTTTCCTTCAGCTTCTCGTAAAACTCCTGCGGTGTGAGCTTCTTGCCATTGTAGTTATCGCTGTCTTCTTCTTTCTTGCCCTTGGGCTCGCTGGGGCATGCACCCGTGTCCGCCATCGTTACAAGCTATTGCTTCTGGGCAAACGATGGCAACTGGATTTTTTCAAAATTTTAGCTAATGTCGTACATTAGATAACGGCCTAACCGCCATCTAATGGGCCAAAATCTAATTTCTAAATAGGATTCTCCATTACAGATTTCTAACTTTAGAATCTAAGCTTTGGATGAGATCCAACCCTACATGTAAGCGGTATCGTGTTCACGCGGCAGTGGGAACCCTCGTTACACGGGGACATCGACCTTCGTACGTGCAGTAGTATCATGCATCCGCTGTCTGTGCCGGTTGCCATGCAAAGGCGGAAGCGTGTCATGCGACGAATGCGAGACGTTTCTGGGCTATCAGCTGATAGACTGCAGGCTAGAGTTCCCTGGGGAGCGATTTTACAGCAGGCGATGGGGCCGCTATGGACACCTACGGTTATCAGCGCCTTCCCTTGCCCCTCCAATGGCTCGATTTCCAATTCCATATCTTCATAACTCCGATGAATGTTATCCAGCCTGGGGCACGATGATGCCTCAACCCCTATGGTCTGAGACTCAGCTTCAAACCCCTATCGATGCAGTGCGGTATTGGATGACAGGAATGTAATGCTGCGGTCTGCGGTTTATTATTATTGGGGCCAGACTGATTCAGAGTATTGTTACTGGTGGGGTGCTATATCACGTCTAATCGCAGGAAAAGTACCGATCGGCGGATGTCAAACTCGTGATACCCAGGATACTACATAGGGTGAGGGCCAGAGACAGGGCGGGCTGCTCGAACTGGGTGTAGAAAGGGAGCTGGTCCCTTCCTACACTGGCTGGCTAATAATAGCACTGTGTAGATGAACGATGGAGGCGAATGGGGCGCAGAATAATGGCGTGACAAGCTGTGTAGGCAACCCTGCTGGCCTACGTACCCATCGAGCAAGGACGACCTACCGGTGAGTCCAGGATCGCTCCCCGTATGTTCTTGGAGGTGCAGCCACGCAGCAGACAGCTCTTAGCTCGTGTCGATATGTTGGGACCGCGCTCGCTCCGTCCTGCCTCGTTCGCCTTCTATGTGGCGCATAAACAAGGAAGCAAGGCACGCACCATCAGGGTTCATGGTCCAGCAGCATAGCAGTAGCCAGGGTAAATAAAAGCACCCATGGAGAGACAACAAGGAGGTTCCACATGACAGGCGGGTCGGAGTTGTTGCGAGATGTTGGTTACGGAAGCGAATGGCAAAGGAAAGAGAACCGTCGACGGACGCAGTTGAATGGCGGCACGTCTGTCGTTCGTTATTTGCGAACATGAGCGAGAAAAAAGTACGATAAAGATGAAAGGACTGCCTACCAGAAGTGAGCTGCGCAGCCGCTGGCTTCCTGCGTCGTCCAAGCTGTCGCTCGTCGCCGCGCTTTCGCACAGTAGCTGGCCCCTGCCCTGAGATGTGCGCTTTGCAGTACACCAGTAGCTCTAATAGATACTTAATATTTGATATTAAATGGTATCAAAAACTGCGACGCGATGGAGATTGGGGAAAACGTTGCAGGCAAGATATCTTGCCATGTGCTGCTGTACCCTTCCTCGCCGTTAATATAACGCAAGGCACACGTGCAGTCACTACACATTATAATTATTGTGCTTTTTGTGCTAAAGGATTATGTAGGTTTTGGCCTACATCCGGTGTACGGAAGGCGGTAAGTGAGTCAGTGTCTGTCACGACAGTCGGCCGTACGCACATGTTTTGTCGATGCTACAGTCGTATGGCGCGACATACCAAGCAAAGTTTCTAAAATTTACCCGGCCCTGGCTAAATTAAGCGCCTTCAGCAAACACAGTGAAGTTGTTAAATTGCATTTTCACAAAGCTATCCAGTAGAGCTTGGCGCTAAATAATCCGCGTCCACACCCAGCAGCAGCAGCCTTCTCCTCCCGAACTCCGTAGCTGCAAGGTGCGCACTGACACGGCGGCACTTCGTTCTCCTATATAGGAGAACGAAGTGCCGCCGTGCCAGGCAATCCTACAGGGCGGGGCCCCGCCCCGCCCTGTAGGATTGCCCACGTCCATGTGTGTGTGTGTGTGTGTGTGTGTGTGTGTGTGTGTGTGTGTGTGTGTGTATGTGTGTGTGTGTATGTGTGTGTGTGTGTGTATGTAACGGACCAAACATAATATCTCGCCCGGCTGAAACGCGTTATTGGTAATATAATGCATTCTCTATTGCAAGGTATCTCGCCTGTAGCCAACAAAATCGTATGAGCACAAACAAGTTTGGCTGCCTCCATTGACCGAGGTCAAAGTCACATCAACGCCTCTCGGGCTAAATTTAATCTGAAAAGGTGCCGCGTATCTCATAATTGAATTCTGAGTTGACGGCGTATGATAATTCGAACACCCAGCTTGCGTTGCCATTTGCCTGCACGGGCATTCCGACTTGCCACCAGCAGGCCGACAAATTTGCGTTCATTTCTCTATGAAGCACGCAATCTGCTCGTTTGTACAATTACTTTGCCCAATGCTTGGGGCCTCCGAAGAGTTGCAGTGTGCCGCGATGAAGCTCGCGGCTGTGAGGCGGAAGCATAGCTAGCACAGCATCAGCACTGCTGCAACAAGCACAGCTCCCACCACGTTGACACATCAATTTTCACACGTGCCGCCATAGCTACCGGCCTGTACGGATGCCCCCGGGGCCCCCGCCCTTTTTACGGCTTCGAGGAAGCCGACACCCGACGTGTTCCCATCTGCATTCAGTTTTGCAGCACGCACTGCAATACTGCTGCGCTCGTTCGGCACCTATTTGCAAAACAGGGAAAGTGACTTAAGGGTATTCGCGGATTATATATAGATTAATATGATATAAGATGTGCACATTCTTCCTATACGAACAGCTCAAAGTCGGTGGAAAAATTTTGCTACTTGGTGGTCCCCTTCAGGTCATCATCCCCCAAAGGGGAAATAAAGTTCTCCAGCTTTGGACATAGCCCTTTCCCCGAAGGGGAGGACGAAGTAGGTTTGCGCCATCAAGTATCAAATTGACAATCTCGGATTAACACGTTTTACAACGCCTCATAAAAAACCTGATTGATAGCTTGGAAGGTTATCCTTATAAAGACTGTATTTGGTCCTAGTTTTGTGGAAGCTTTGCGCTTCTTGTTCGGCATTATGCACCATCTTGTAGTAGACATAGTGGGGGCATCTGCCCAATACTTCAGACTGTCAGGATTACCTCCAGCATTTCCTCAGAAATGCCTATTCTGGCTTATTGCGGAAGCCTACGGCTTTGATGTAGATCAATATGGAAAGAAATGGGGGATAGTCGAGGCTAGTCTCACTACAGCCGTGGTGTGGGTGCGATGGGATCAGCCCGCATTACCCGCCAGGATGAATATTTTCTCCATTGAGGAGGATGGCCGGCGGATTCATAGGGGAGCGTGGAGAGCGCAACACACGTATTACGACACACAGACTCCGGCTTTGCCCCGCCCCCCCAAGATTCAACAACGAAACCGCTTGATACCGAATCTCCCGCCGCCCATTTCGGCGGCGGCAGTCATCGCGGCGCGAGCACGTCCTAGTCCAGCGACGCCAGCTGTGGGCGAAGTAGGAGGATCAAGTAATGCACGTCAGCCCGTGGCTACTGGACAGCCCCCGCCAAACCAGCAAACAACTCGACAGCAGCAGCTGCAAAATCGAGTATCCAACGAGGAGGCAGCAGAAATGGCAGGCAGAGCAGCAGCCGCCGTTGTACGAAGACAAGTACAACAACAGCAGCAACAGCAACAACAGCAACAGCAACAACAGACACAGCAACAGCAACCACAGCAGCAACAACAGCAACAGCAACAACAACGACAGAACCAGCAACCACAACAGCAACAGCAACAGATACAGCAACAGCCGCCACAGCAGCAGCAGCGACAACAGCAGCAGCTCTCATACACAACCACCAATCAACCGGGACTACCGACATCAGCTTCTATCCCCAAAACTCACTCCATCACGCACCCCTTACTTGGCCAACCGATTCAAGATGTGGCCGGAAATAGGCCAGATGAACAGCAATGGCAATTACAAAACAGACGGACGCATCGTGGAAACCCAATTCTGCCCACCGACCAACCTGTGCTGGGCAAGCATGCGGACAAACCAACGTCACGCACGTCATCTCCAGGGGTCAGTCCCCAACACAAGAGGCGGGACTCGGTAATAAGCCCGCCCAGGTTTCATGTTCTTCCACACGACGACCCGGGTGACCTCATGCAAGTCGGCGAGGAGGAGGAAGAGAGAAATATAGTAGTAGTCCGTGGAAATGGAGATACAGAATTACCCCCTAGGTAAATGGGGCGACGGACAAGATGCAGGAGGCCTAATAATAGACCCCTTCGTATAGCGTCCCATAATGTAGCAGGTTTATTCACGCATTCGGCATTTACTCGTATCCACGCTGCGGCTAGAGTATGGGCCCAACATAGGTTAGATGTCATTTGTTTACAGGAGACACATCATATGGGAGATGGAGACCTGACAATTCTCACTAGAGAATTGCAATTCGCGGCTCAGAAAATAGGGATACCGGGATGGGATATAATAGCACAATCCCCCACGACCAATGCCCGGACGGCTGGAGTATTAGTGCTAGTGCGCAAAGATCTTTATCGCGACTTTAAAATAATACAAACACCGGCACGACTACTTCCGGCTAACATTCCCCAAGGCCGTAGCGCGTCGGTTTCGTTCACGTGGTGTGGTCACCGTATTCATTTGATTAATTTGTACCTCATGACATCTAGTTACTCGATAGATCAGAGGAAGGCGTGTGTGCATTCTCTTGGCGATGTGGTAAATAGGATAGGACAGGATGATCATTTGCTTTGGGCTGGAGATTTTAATTTTGTCCATAATCCGATGCTAGATTCCACCACAGGAGAAGGGAGTAGACCCGCGGACTTATCCTTAGCCAAGGCTTTCTCCGAATGCTGCCCGGATATGGTAGACACATATCGCTACCTCCACCCTACCCGTCGCGACCTTTCGTT